AAAATTTTAAATTCGAATCTTAAAAGGTGGGGGAGAGATTTAGAGAAAAAAAAGAATTATTACCTATTGTATAGCTAGTCCATCATTGTTAAATGTATTAACAAAAATAATTTTTGTTTTCATTTTTAAAGTAGACAATTTTTTTTCTTACTTTAATTTTATCCTTATCTATTTACATCAATTAATCATCCTATCACAAAAAATTTATTTTTATTTTTTATTTAAAATTGGTACCATAAAAAATATTTAAAAACTCAAATTGTCAATAAAACATTTATGCCTTCCCTAAATTAATTTTCCAGCTTCGCCGCTGTCCAAATCCTTACATAACTTTGAGAAGAAGTAAAAAAAAAAAAGGCAATTATTTTAAAGATAAAATGAATTAAAAAGTACAAAAGATACCGCAAATGGTTAGTTTGAAACATTCTTATCCATATATTACCATAGAAAATTAGAAGAGACCTGGGTCCAAATTACAAAGTCCTAGTAAAAATTTAACTAGCCAATTTCAGATATATTAAACACATCAATTTTAGAATTTACAAACATATATATATATATATATATATATCAAAATCCATGTATGCATATACATATGCATTGGGATTGTTATATTTAACAATGCATTGTTAGGTGTTGGAATTTTCTGCCTCTCCATCTTTCAAGGGAAAAGGTATACTGCATCTAACCCAGTGATGCATTAATTAGTTTTAAACATGCATTTTCCCCCATGCACGTAACAAAGGTACAATAAACAAGTATGATCGCATATTAAATCGCTTGTTTGGTAGAAGGAAGATGGTCGGATGAACTGCGCAATTGCGACACTTGAAACAGAGTAGTTGGAGATTGCTTATTTAATTTAATAATTGTTTAATTATATTCTTTTTTAGTACATTAATTATATATATTTTTCATAAAAAAAATTAATGCCTCAATATTTCTGTCATGTATTGGAATTTTTATAGAATATAGAGGCGGCAGTGTGCACGATTTGCAATTTGATCAATGAAAAAATAAACTTTAATATTTATGAAGGACGTAAGCAGGATCGATCATTAGAACTGTATTTATACCTAAAAGATTTGAATCCTGTTCAATGGTCGAACTTCAAATGACAATATTAACATAAGAGGATAGTGGCCGTCAATTTTAATTAACTTCTAATTGTATTTTAGTTTTTTTTGAAGTCTTCGATAACAAGACACTGTTTTAATTATTTAATTCAAAATATAGATTTGAAAATAGCAAAATTAAACTTATTGGAAATGACAGAAAACCTCATGTTTTGAATTTAGCGACAGAGGAAACGTCACTTCATATGAGACTCTAAATAAGATTTAGAAATTGGAATCAATGTGCCTGCATGTTAACATAAATTTGAATCTTAAAGTATTAATTATTAAAAAAAAAAAGAGTATTGTGGAGTTTAAAATATATTAAATTATATAATTTAAATTATTAGATATGAGTAAGTTTTTAATATTAAAAATTATTTTCTATATAATAGTTATTGTTTTACAATTTGGTATAATCCAAATTATAAAACTTAAAAGTCATTAATTACAATCAAACGTCTTGCTTTTGTTTATTAAAAGTATAGAAATTGGATTGATTCTCAATAAATGCCATTGGAAAAAAATTAAGGTTATAATTAATTAATCTAAAAAAATTTAATTAATCTCAAATTAAAAATGGACTTCTCCCTTTTGAAACTGATTTTTGATCGTATTTTTTAAATACTTTAAGGTAGGTAACAAACTAAATGAGACCTAACCTTGTAGACTTGATTGATTTAAGCAACTTTTGTTTTTAATTTGGATCACCAAGATAGGACAAAAATTAATATACCCTCTAAATTAATTTATTACATAATATATTTATTAAAAAATTATTATTATCTATTCTGAAATTAAAGATAGATAAATTTAAAAATATAATTATATTTATAAGAGATAATAATTGGTTAAATTAATTATATTTATATATTATATATATTTTAATGACTAAACTAAAAGTATATTAAAAAGTATGAGAAACAGGAGAGTGTAACAATCATTTTCTGTCAAGATAACATATGTAAATCCTTTTCTAAATTTCTTCTCTCCTAAGAAATAATTAAGGAAGAAATCTTTCCTTTTCTTGGTGTAAATAACTTGTCAAAGGAGGTAATAAACTACCTCCTTCAACTCATTAATTCACCCTCATTTTAGATAACCTAGCTGTCGGGGTTCTAATTAATTAGTACTAATATGTAAATATATACCACATGACCAAGAAAAATATTCATTTTATGGTTTAATGCAAATATATGAAGTTTTAGCTACGAGATAAGTACCAGGTTTGATTGATGATAATGTTACAGTATATACCTGTAAAATATAGACATTCTAAGAGAAAAATGCTTAATTTATTTTGGGTACCATATGATATGAGCTGTATGATATAAAACAAATCGACCAAAAAATATTAATTAGTAGATATTTTCAAATTAAAAATTTAATAGGGAACGCAACGATAATTATTTAGGCAGCAAATCTTTGTTTGAATTGATTATATATCACCTTGAGTTATTATTATTATTATTTTTTTTTTGTCTCCTTTTTTTTTTTTTTTTTTGAAGAGCCACCTTTTATATCACCTTGAGTTACTACATAGAGAATACCATGCATAGAGCATGATAACACAATCAAATAATTTTGATTAACATTAATATTTCTTTTTATGGTTTATTACGTGTAATCCAACATCTAAGGAAACGTAGTTTTCATAAATGAATTAGGTCAATATGGAGTTTGCTAATCTTTAAAATCATCTAAAAGGATTCATCTTGAGGTATTTATAAATTGATGTTGAAAAAAAAAAGAAAAGTAAAACACAATAAAGAAATTTGTAATACTATAATTAAGTCAAATAATATTGGTGAAAGTTTTAATACAATTATCAGGTCCATTAAATAGTCTTAATTAGTCAGACGCTGTGGAACGTTTCTAGAAGAAGATTTCTCCTATTATCTCCTTTGAATTCTCTGCGAAAATTTCCCCCTTTTTTTAATTTATTCTTTGCAATTCATTGTCAACATTCAAAGGGCTCTGATTTGAGACTATTTTATTTTTTTCCCACTTGGCAGTAATATATAGCTAACTTATTTGAGTAATTAATTAAAGCATAATTATAATTAGTCGTTATAAGTAAGTTAGTGTTAGGGTTTGGTGGGTCCCACCTAAGACTCAATAGTTTTACGTGTGTCTATGTATATGCCAATTAGTGCAAAATGGAATTAATTAACACAAAAAAAAAATAATACAAGAAATGATATAGTTACAATAATACTATGTAAAATTATAAATTTACATTCTAACATTATTATTAAATAAGTAAATATATATAATATTATAAGTAAACTTTTAAATAAAAAATATTAATCATACAGTAACAATTAAAATTTAAATTTATAATATCATATAATATTATTATAACTATATTATTTTCAATTAAAATGAATAATTATGGATTAAAGATTATTGAGAGGGGATTTCTTCTCCAGGAATATGGTAGTCACTAGATGGCTGCTTGGCACATGTAAAACCTACCATTAATATTGGTTAACTTTGGTTTGCTGACGTGTAGACTTTAGCGTATAATACAAAGAAGATGGCAAGCGTACGTGGTCCTCCTGTTTGCCTTGTTCTACAAGTGAATGTCATGTTCTGCGTTGAAATTAGTGTTCGTATATTTTTAAGGTTACTAATATACCCTCTCACCACAATTTTTTTAAATGGTAAAAGAAAGTATTGCAAAATATTGATCTTTAAATTGAGACTATTTTATTTAATTATTGAAATTGTATAGTTTATATTATAATTAAATAATAAAAATTAAGATCTCCAATGACACTCATATAATAAATGAAGTTCAACTGGGAGTTTGGGACCAAAGTTGGGTTTTATTTATTACTATTAATAATTATGATTAAATATTTTGATATTTAAATATTAAGATATTTTAATTTTTTTCGTTTATATATTGAGTCATACAATATAAAACAATATTTTTTTATCCCATTACCTTCACTTATATGTCTAAAAGTTTAACCGAAAACTTCGTACATTTATTAAAAGAAAAATACTATTAAATGACTTAAACCATTAAAATTTACTTCTGCATGTATTCAGATGATGTCTCTTTTTTTATGCCAACTCTAATACCGTACAAGGTAAATGTGGACTTCACCAAACAATCGGAGATCATCACAACATTTTTCTCATTTTGAGAGATTAAGCAGATAATAACCTATTGACAAAAAGAAAAAGAAAAAAAAAAAAAAAACAAGAAAAAGATCATACCATAACCCTTAATTCTTGACGGACCAAAAAAGAAAAAAAGAAAAAACAACCCCTAATTCTTGTTTTTTTTTTTAATTAACAAAAGATAATTTATTATAAAAATATAAGACATACCTCAAGCCCTTAATTATTAGTGATATTTTTAATGGATGTCATCATTTTTTTATACAATGTTTTAAAGTTAATTTTCATATATTTTAAAATTAATTATTTCTTGAACATTTCTTATTCATGATGAACCTCATTTCTATTTGATATATTTAAAAAAATTAATTTTTTTAAATATTAATATAAAATTTTAAATTTAAATATAATTTATAAAATAATATTTACTTACCAATAAATATTCTTGCTTGGATGTCATCACGTAGAGCAAGTGGATTAGTTAGAAAAAGTTGATGACTAGAAATACAAAATATTATTATTTATATGAAAGAGGAAAATTTTCGTTACTTTTGGAGTTGATTCTCCTTCTCCAAGCCACCCCTATAATCTTTAAAAAATGATAAGGACATCTTGGTAATTTTGTCTAATAACAATAAAAAACATATCGAGATATGACATCTAATTCAGGAAGTACTGTCTCTTCACACAAATCTTTGTTTATTTCTCAGACATCGGACACACTATATAAACAGCACAGCTCTTCAACACTTTTCCAACATCAATCCCTCCTGTCTTTTGGCTCTTTCTGTTTCCAATCAAAGGTTTCTACCCTGAATTCTGTATTTCTCCATCCAAGTACAAAATTTAGGAAAGTAGTGGCAGGTGGAATTAATTAAAATCAAGTTCATTAGCAATTGTTGTTCATGGTGCCTTTTCCGTGCAGGGACGATGGGGAGATCACCTTGCTGCGACGAGAATGGCCTCAAAAAGGGACCTTGGACACCAGAGGAGGATCGGAAGCTTGTGGATTATATACAGAAGCATGGACATGGAAGCTGGAGAGCTCTTCCCAAGCTCGCCGGGTTGAATAGGTGTGGGAAGAGTTGCAGGCTCAGGTGGACTAATTATCTCCGGCCCGATATCAAGAGAGGAAAGTTTTCCGAGGAGGAAGAGCAAACCATCATCAACCTCCACGCCGTTCTCGGAAATAAGTAATTTCTTGTATCCCTTAAGATTATAACTAGAAAACGAATACAAAATAGGGTAGGTAGAAGAACTAGAAGAGAAAGAAAGATAACGAAATCCGTTGTTTCTAACACTGGATTAATTATCTATGTTCTTGTTTTAGGTGGTCGGCGATAGCAACTCATCTTCCGGGGAGGACAGATAATGAAATCAAGAATTTCTGGAATACCCATCTGAAGAAAAAGCTTCTGCAAATGGGAATTGATCCGGTGACTCACCGGCCGAGAACCGACCTGAATATTTTGGCCAACCTTCCACAGTTGCTCGCTGCTGCCAACTTCAGCAACCTGATGAGCATGCCTTTGGATAATGCTCTTAGACTACAATCTGACGCCACCCAACTGGGACTGGCCAAAATTCAGATGCTGCACAATCTCCTGGAGGTACTAAGCACTAATCCTTCATCTATGGAAGCCATGAACTTTCTAGGATCATCGACTCTGAGGGATCATCAGCAGCAGTTTGAGTTCCTCCGTATGAACACTCAGTTTGAAGGAAATGGGAATTTCCCATTTGGATTCAATCCACAGGACCTGACTCAAATACACTCAAGTTTTCCAAACATAGAGGCTGTTGGCCCTGAATACGATCCACAAATGAAGGACTCAAAGCTTTATTCCAGCAATAATGACAACAATGATTATCAGTTTGCTTCTTCTTCTTCATGTGCTATGCCGGTTTCAAATCCACCACTGCCGGCACTAGTTCCGGCCTCGCCGGGGCAACATAGCACCTTAAATCAGATTGAAAAAAATAAGAATATCAAGACAAATGATATCTCCAACCCTTCATCAACTTCAACCACCTTTGAAGCTTGGGGGGACCTAATGGAGGATGAAGCAACTGACTCTTACTGGAGAGATATTATAGAGTAAGTGCTGATCCTTTTAATTATTTAAATTTCTTGACATTGACAATTGATCAATTCATTGATTAATTTTAGGTACCCATTTTTTTCCTCTTTTTTTTTTCTTTTATTATTTTTTTTTTTTCTTGATTGCAGCCAAGCATCATCACAGCCATGGCCAATTTCATAGTTAGTATCACAAGAGTGCAGATTTGAACATATAATCAAAGAGCTGAAATTAATAATTACTATTTGCGTAGACAAAAGACCCAGATGTCCAGTTAAATTTGTTTCTTTACATATATTTACGATTTGAATAGATAGAGAGAGGAAGTGTGCTATTCTGTAAAGTACAGAGATTAATCATGTATGTTTCTCCTAAACAGTATTTAACTGTCATATTATTTTGGATTTATATAAATATATATCAACATTTTCAACAACTTATCTTACCTTAATTTCTAACATTTGCTCTACTTATATTCTTTCCAAGTACTTGTTTTTGGTATGATATCAAATAAAGGTATGAAAGATAATTGTTCCATCCAAGAAAAAAAAAAATAATCAAAATTTTTAAGTTTAAATTTTAAAATGAATAAAAAAAAGAAAAAAGATTACTCCTTGTTATATAGTCTACTGGTCACATTTACAAAAGAAAGAATTGTTTCATTTTGTCAAGTATATAAATGGAAATGCGAGAAAGAGAGAGGTGATGTAAAGAATCAAGCAATGGAAGAATATAAAAATAATTATTTCTGGAAAGCATTAGACACGAAATTGATCTGCGAACGTTCGAAAAGGACCCATCTAGGGGCTTGAATTACAAAAGGGGTTTGACCTTTGATAAGGGATAAATCATATGTCAAACATATCTTTAATGTGGGCAGTCACACAAAGCCTATTAACTAAGACAATATGTATACTTTGAGGTTCTTCCTATAATGTACGTACGTCTTTGAGCAAAACCTCTGATTCAAGCTAATTGGGATCACAAGGGGAGAGGGCGACACATGATGAATGGGAGTTAATAGTCCAAAAAGCGAACTTTAAATAATCTATTAATTTGTTGATAAACTAATACATAGTTATATCTGCCTCGTCATAAAAAGTCAACACTATTTGTTATCAATTAGGTAAGACTCTAGCCTCTTGATAGAAGCCATTGATGCAATATGTTAAACCAAGCCATTTCGAAACCTAATAGTCAACACTATTTCAAGCCATTGACATCACTTTGTAAATAAGTTCACACGTGTTAAATTAAATTTTCACACTTATTAAAATAAATTTACTTCTTTGATTGGTTAAAAGGTATATGGCTGGCCTTCTCCACGAATTAAGGATGTTGTAAGAAAATAATTATATATCTCTCAAATAATTGAATTTTAATTAACAAAACGATAGGTAGGACATATGGATTCATTTTGTGGTTTTTTGTTTGTTTTATTTTATGAGTTAATTGTAGTTTGTATTGACATGGATTACGCTTTGCACTGCCAATAATAAATTATTCCAATAAAAGTAGTAATTGACCAATTAATTGGCACCTTTAAATTAATTAATTATACTCCTCATTAATAGTGTGTTTTGGCTTCACTTCGAGAATAAATGATCATTCCAAAGCAGAAGTCAGGCTAAACATATATAGTTTTTGACAAGAGAGTTTGTAAAATTTTCTAGAACTCAAGTGGGTTCGGAAACTGAAATTATAAATTATAGTATAACTTTTGAAATAGAGGTTCTATTCCTGAACTTTTGGGTTTGATAAATTCTCCCAATTAATAAAATGATTTATAATTCTTTTCCATTATGGTTTCACAATCCAACATTTTTCTATAAAAATATCTACTAAAATAACATTTTTAAAATAAAAAATTATTGTGCAATTCCACCCCAAATACGGATTGTACAATTACAACCGTCGTTAGGGAAGGGCTCCTAAATGCAAGGCCTTTCTCCTTCAAATAAATGAAATCAATAATTAATTTTTTTAAAAATCCATCTCAAGTCACACCGCAAAAAAAAAAAAAAAACATTCTCATTCCAATAAAAACTTTAGATAAGCCAACTGGGCTCTAATTTGCTTGGTTGAATGAATAATTCATTGTGGTAATTGCGCCCCCAAAAAGCTTTAAGTGTTGTATTTATTAGTAATTAAGTGTTATTTTATTAACTAGATTTATAATTCAAATTTTAAAGTTAATAATTAAAGAAATTAATTTTTTTAATTTATTAGGCTAATGTAAAAGATGTCATTTTAAAATTGTTTAGAAAGAAACTAATCATAAGGAACATGAAAACTATCTTAAAAACAACCTGGCCATATATAAAAAAGAAATATTGTGCACAAACTAGCTCAAACAGTTGACAAACAGGGCAATGGTACAGCTCCACAAAATACACCAATTGTGTTTAATTTGTCTAATTTTATTAATTTATAAATTAATTTTAAATTATTAAATAATAAATAATAATTATTTTATCTATGACAACTAATAATTATTCATATAAAGCTGCCCCTAACAATAAAACCAAATGCATTTACCTCATTTCGGGGTGGCGACAACAATTTTTTTGTTAGCCATAGCCATGGCCGGACAAATAGATAATTGTGGCAATCCACTTGAAAGATCACATCAATCACCATTGTTGAAAAATTTCACTCTTAAAATTAGTAGATAATTTCAACTTCGATTAAATGTATCTTAATTTTGCCTTAAGGTTGAAGGAAAAAAAGGTAAAAACAATAAATATTCCCAAGAACTCTTAAATTATGAAAGGATGTGCACATGAGCTCGCGACAAATCCCAACTTACAAGCTAACCTTGTCCAAGAAGGGAACTTCATGATATTTAGTAGGTTTCTATTGACCTTTTGCAAAACAACTAACTCTACCTACCTTGCCAAAATATGCTTATATTCTAACCTAAGGCTTCATTTCATATGGCATATATGTAGTTTTTGATTGTCACCACATAAGCACGTCGCCACAATAATGTTTCTTATGAGAAACACATGATTTAGGTCCAACAATTTCTGTCTCAAGTCACCTCTCACGTTAAATTCCAAAATTATCCGTACCCCCTCATTGTTCCTTGGCCTTCCATAAATAGGATGACAAAGCAAAGTAGTTGAGCTTTTCAGCAATATATTCGATCGTGAAATCTCTTAATACCATTTCAATTAATCAAAAGTAGCTTAACTTGGTGTTGAATAAGTAGAAAGAAAATTGGTTATTTTAAGGAGAACGTGATGAATAAAGGAGATGAAAAATATAATTTTATTATATTATAAAAATTGTTAAAATTTTTTGTAAATGTGAAATAAATATCTAACATACCTTAAAATCTCCTAAAATTCCTCTTAAAATCCTTTTAAAATCATCTAAAATCTTAAATAAATATCTAATAGACCTTTTAAAATTGTTTAAAATATGAAATAAATACCTAATAAACCTCTTTTAAAAAATCTATTAACGGATTGAATTCCCATTAAATTAAATTAATAACTTTTTAAATTTCTTGATAACCATAATATATATAATTTTTTATTAAATTAATTCTCTATATATGATCTTATTATTATGTTATAAAAACTATTAATATTTTTAATAAATCTCAAATAAATACTCAATTGCCCTTATAAAATCCCCTATTGAAAATATAATAATACATGAAAATTGCATGATTGGCAACTGTTCGCTAATTTTCGTTTCCCAGGTAAAAGAAACAAGCTATTGCGGTGCTATTTCATTTACACTTTGCTAAGCAAAGTCTCGAAACTTGATGCCTTTATATTTCCCTTTTGCTTCTCATTATTGGAGAGTAAATGAAGGAAAAAAATTTGAACCTAGCTCAAACCTCTTTTCTCAATATAAAATAATATTTTTTTCCAACAATATATAAAATAGGTTAACAATCATTAATTTGTTTAATAACATAAATATATCTAAACCTTTGGTCTAACTTGCCAGTCAAATTAAGCCATATCTTGGGTGCGAAGCCACTGGTTTGTTATGGGTTGTTGGTGGAGATGATTGACAGTGCTATTTGTTTCTTGTGCGGGGATGATATCTTGTGTAAGAAAATAATTAGTACATCTTTTGATTTAGCATATTTGTTAATATTTAATAGTCAGTTATTAAAGTGTATAATTTATAATTTTTTTATTTTTAATTTAAATTTAAAAATAATAATTTTTTAATAAATATATTATAAAGTGTGTCAAATTAGATAATAAATCAATTATTGTTCCTTGTGCAGATGTCAAGCTATTGCTCATGGGATGTTGTTTTGTCAGATTTGTTTATGCCTACTGTGCTTCGTTTAAGAACAATAGATGGCCACAGAAAAGAAGATACTAGGTTTTGGGGTTTTGCCTCCCTCTAAATAGTGGAATTTGAATATTAATAGGTTAGTATGGTAGATGGGGACTGTTGTATTGT